GCTCTGCTGGTATGTCGACCTGGGCTGCGAGGATTAGAGAAGCCATTTGAGGTTTAACCTTTGCTGCACCAAAGACTCTAGATCTGTGTTTTAATATTCTATCATTGTTGTCAGCAGGTTTTTAGTACAGTCAGTAAACTGCTCATCCTCTTGGACTTAGTAATGGAATCTATTCTTGCTTAAGGGTTCCCAAATTTGAACAGATTTCAACGCAGCTGACCCAAAACCCCCAATAAGCTGTCTCTTGTTTTCTTCTCTATCTTATACATGATTTTTGACATTTTTAGTGATTCTGCCGTGAAAAGACCGATGCAGCATTTGGTGAATTTGACCCCAGACTTTGTGGAAATGGGGTACACAGATGCAACATTGCGTGCTGATATGATCACGAACCATTCATGTCTCATTTTAGATATGATCCTCAAGGCCTCTAATATCCTGTTGCGACATCCCAGTGAAGCGGATGAACTGAAGTGCATGTGAGTTTGTGCTGATGTGTGTGTGTGTGTGTGTGTGTGTGTGTGTGTGTGTGTGTGTGTGTGTGTGTGTGTGTGTGTGTGTGTGTGTGTGTGTGTGTGTGTGTGTGTGTGTGTGTGTGTGTGTGTGTGTGTGTGTGTGTGTGTGTGTGTGTGTGTGTGTGTGTGTGTGTGTGTGCGCGCAGATGCACATTTGGGTGCCTTGGCGTGCGTTTGTCGGCCTCGTCCAGATGTGCAGGAATAGCTGAATGTTGTAATGCTTCCTGTTTTGCATACTGTCTGAGGTCAGCAGAACACTGTGATGCTGTGATGTTGGAAGAAATGGGGACAGAAAATCACAAATAGACAAGAAACTCATATTGTAACACTTTTCATGCTAAATCAAATACAAATTATAAACCAACCGTATTTAAACAGGTGTATTCCTTTTTCTTAACATCGTAAACAATAATCAAAAGCACAAAGGTTTTTTACAAGCATCCTGTTTTCTGTGTCTATGTCACTTGTCGGGAATGCTGTAATAATTGTCTTTGCTTCACACAAACACACACTTCGGTGTTCGTGTATGACTGTTATGAGGACTCGCGCACATCGCTGCAGGAACAAACCTCTTGCATTGTACCACACATATAACATGTGATAAGCACACAGTTGCCTAAAGAGGGCTTCAGTGACACTAACACATGTGCGCACACGTGGACCAGACAGGGACAAATGAACTCCGGAGGGAACACAGGAAAGAATAGAAGCAGGAGCCATTACTCAAATAAAATGTATTCATGTTCTGCAGAACTGTAGCTGGCCCTGGTAAAGACACTATGTAAGGATGTGAAGTTACCATTCAAACACACAGAATCACCATTACTTTGTCCTTTTTCTTTCTAATGGAGATACAATTGACCCAAAAGACCCAAACTAAGCGTACAGGAGTCTTTCTCTTGTATGTTCACTCTCTGTTGGCTTGCCAAGCAGCTGTTAGGCATCTGCATCATCCAACATACTCATTAGTAGGGCCTGACCGATATGGAATTTTTGGGGCCGATATCGATATTGGGGAGTGAAAAAAATCTGATACCGACTTTCTTAGATCTATGTTCGATCTTTAGAGATAGATTTACACATTTATTGGATTGATCTCCCAAATGCAGTTATCAAGCACTTGAGGAAAAGATGAATAATGAAGACAAGATGGTAACTCAACTGGAATAGTCACAGGACATGCTGATATCGGCTGAATTTCGGCTGGAAGATTTATCAGTCAAGGTTCTACTCATTTGACTTCCTCAACCCATAAGAGCGAAAGCTGGAGATGTTTTATGTTTTTTAATATCATTAACAAATCCCATTAAAATGCCAAACCCAGAAATACATTCTTACCACAAAGAAGTTTTGTTTAGCAGCTGCATGAAGAAGCTTATCTCTCTCTGTCACTGACATCTATTGTTGACCAAAGAGTATTAAAAACATGTAAATGAGTCACACTGTTGCACTTTTGGATTTCTTTTGTTACAAACTCAGAAGCACATCCCAAAAACACAAGGGCTCTTCTGCCTAAATAACTCAATGTAGCATTAGATATATCAAATAGTCTGCTGAAAATAGTCCCCAACAAACCTTAAACAGCTCAGCCTGTAGATATTTCAGGGGAGAATATAGGACAATAGTCATGGACAACTTTGAAGATTTAGAGAGAAAGTATCTGCAGTCTGATGTTAGTTGTTGTTTTTGGATCGTTGGCTTTCTTTACAAGAAATCATTTTTTTCTTATTTTAATCGGAGGCAGCTTTGAGGTGTTATTATGAATCTACACGTATCCTACATTTGACAATAAGTCTTAAGCATCCTGTAAACACTTGCTTCAGCTTTCTTGTCTTGAGGATTGCTACTATGCAAAAGCCAGTAGCTCTGTTTAATGGGCTTGTAATCTGACCACACACACAAGAGGAAGAGAAATGGCAGGGATTATTTTAACTCTTAAAATAAGAGTTTATTTATGTTGTCTTGCCATACCATCTGTACTTCTGTTGTGGTATAGTATGCCGAATATGCTAAATCAATCCTTTGCATCTCCAACTTTCTGTTGAGGCTTTTTTTTCCACTTTGCTTTGTCGGACTAACATTAGCATTAGATGCAGTCAGTAAATGCTGCACATGCAGTACATGCAAAGACACTATCACTCTAACATGCTGACTCTCATTTCAAAAGTCTGAGTGGGCCATTATGAAAGGCTCCTCTGCCAGTATAACAGCCTCTTCAGAGAGGAAGTGTGTGTTCACAAGCATATGGAGATGTGCCAGGTGGAGCACACTGTCAGAAGCACACACACGCACACACACACACACACACACGCACACACACACACACACACACACACACACACACACACACTCACTCGTTTTTAAGTAGATCCGTGTAATTCATCTGCTCCCTGGGGAGCAGCCAGGGCTGACAGGGATATTTGCATCCCTAATTCCCCCATCACCAGCACCCATACACCCCTTCCTTGTACCAGCTGGGACCGCCAGGACGAGTGCAGACACAGGATAGGAAGTCTTTTTCAAACGTGACCACTCTCTCACTCACACACACACATATATATTCACATGCATAATCATGCAAGCCGTATCTAATCAATTTGACACAGTAGTTAAACAAAGCTCAAGTTTAGGGTAATTAAGAACGCCCAATTAAAGGGTGTGCATGTGTGTTGGTGTGTGTGTCCGACTTTGTATCGGTTTGCATATTTTAAGGTTTCTTTGTTGCCAGGAAACCTTTGTTTGAATATATTACAAAAATGAAGCATTTCAAAGCTGAGACGTTGCTCTTTGCAGTTTGAATTTCCGTACTGAGCATTACTTTCTCTAATGTTAGCACCTCCAGCAGAGCAAAGTGTTTCTATTTTTGTACATTTTGTTTTTGTGAAAACATTTGTGTGTTAATGTATGCGAGCAGCAGAAGGGTGGATCACAATGATTCCATCATCTCTGCACTGATCTGCCAATCCCTTGGGCTGCCTAATCAATTGCCTGTGTGGCCGTTCTCTTCAGGAGAAATCAATCCAGCTTTGTAAATCAGGTGTGGTGTGCAGTACTGTTTCTCAGTGTTAGAGTGTGTGTGCGTGTGTGTGTGTGTGTGTGTGTGTGTGTGTGTGTGTGTGTGTGTGTGCGCGTGTGCGTGCGCGTGTGTGTGTGCGTGCACATCAAACCTGCATGTAAATATGTGTGTGGGCACGGTTTTCATTCTGCAGCTGTTGTTGAGATTGACACCTCTGGCAGCTCATGATTTGCCCTCAGTCAATGAAGTTGCCTCCCCCAGAACCTCCTCACCAGCCAGCTGGACTGATAGTGTGTTTGATGTGTGTGGGGGTGGTCTTGATAGTAGATTTTTGACAGTATATAGAATGTGTTGCTCCAAATGCAGAGTATTTGTCTGCACAGTTGTAGCAGTTATAGCGCTATTTAATATTTTTTTTTATTTGTACATCGTACCCTCTTAACTCGGTTTTAGTATATCTTATGCTGAGCTCATTGGGGAGCCAGTTTTAATGGTCTATTGACCTGAACCCTACAGCTGGACAGCCTGTCCAATATCCCACCACTATAACTCTTTTATCACTGTGAGGGTCAGTAAGGGTCAAGGTCGTGTCATGCAGTCAAGGGGCCCTTATTAGCGTACTTTCTATTAGACTGTATTTGATCAAATATACTGTATGTGTATATTTTTCCTAGTTCTTAAACATACTGTAAATCTGGCCTCTGCATGTGACCTCAGAGGCCCGGTATCTTCTGTATACGTAGCAACGAAGGGGGAGCAGGACCCCATATCAAGACCTCTGACTGACATGTTTCTAAATGAAACTTTATATTGAAATGATCAATACTGGGGGCTTGTATCACAATGTGTTTGAGGCTCTGTTTGACTCGCTGAATAAATCTATGTAGCCCGATCCGAGCAGATTACATCATATTAGGAGGAGTGAGACAAATGCCAACATGTCCCCTGATGGGTTTAAATGGGAAAGGCTTTTGATTCCTCTGTGGAGGGAGCGAGGGGGGGGGGCACAGAGGGCACAGTGCAATGAGAGGGCAGTGGGGCATTGTGGTTGAGTGAGTGTGGTTAGAGAGGAGGGAAACAGGGAATCTAGCCATCCATCTGGACAGACTGATAAAAGGAGTGCAAGAGCTCTGTGGTCTGAAGGGTCGACTCTGTTGTTTTGAATGTCTGACTGCCATCATATTTCATTTAGTTTGCTTCAGTGACATCTGGAAAAACAAGACGTTCATACTCTGCCACTGTTACTTCTGTCATCAAGTCTCTTTCTTGTGGGATTCTTTTGTTCTCCTGTTGGGATTTTGCAGCTCTGGTGGAAAGAAACGTGATCATTATTTATTATTTATTACTATTTCCATGTTCATATGTAAGTGGATGTGGTAAGTTTATATGTCTTTAAATTGTTTGAACGATCTAAAAATACCCTTTTCATGTTTTTGTGTTTGTGTGTCTGTCTGTGTGCATCTATGAAGACCCGGAGTCCCAGAGGAAGAGGACGGTGCAAAATGTTCTGGATCTTCGACAGAACCTGGAAGAAACCATGACCAGCCTGAGAGGGGTGCAGCTTACCCACAGGTCAGACGCACACACACACACACACACACACGCAGAAACACTCTGGACTGTGTACTAACAAAAAGAAAAAAACAGGAGAAGATAAAATTAAGCAGAAATAGTGAACAAGGACAGTTGATGAGATGTTAAGACCCTTATTGACATTGCTAACGGTGTTTAAGGGTGTGTTGGTTAACTGCCTGTGGGCTTTCAGATCAATATCAGTATTCCTGACAGACCTGTTGCCATTAGTCCGTCCTTCTCCGCCTGTTCTTCTCCTATACTGTAATTTGTTGGTTAATGCAGAACCGAAGCAGGATTAGCTCAAAGCTGACTTCAAAGCCAATCCTGCCAATGCACGCTCACGACTCACATTCATTCAAACACACAAATGCTCACATGCAATAAAGCTGTGATTGAGTGCATGTGAGGATTTGTGTGTCCTTTTTTTTCCCTTCCCTCTGCTTCCTGTCCTTCATTGATTGCATTCAGTACGTCTTCAGGTTTTTTTGTCCTTGAGAGCTTCCCCTCCACCTGCCGTGCCGTGCGTCTCCTGCCACGGATCCTCTCTGGGTCCCTCGGTGGGAGCTCGCTACACGAAGAGCAAATCAGCAGATGGTTACCTGCTGGAATACATTTTCTTTGCCATTCATGCTTCTGATCCACTGTTACAACCTTGAATCATTCCTCAATGTCCCTGACGACATAATCTGCTCTGAGGCCGACTGCTTGTACCAGGGAAGTTTCCTGTGTAAACACAATGTTACATTTCTTTCCAAAAGAAAATGAGCATTTTAAAGTGGGAGATATGTGTGTTCAACAAATGGATTGTTGAGCATGCAGTTTCGTTTGCACACATTTATGCGCAACAAGCAGAATGCCTCTAAGAATCTACAAGACGTGTATACTCTCTCTCATCCTCTCACCACTTCTCTCTCGCTTGTTTTAAGTTAGAGGTTTAGCATTTCAGGTGAAAATGTCTCCATACTTGTTTTTTTTTTGTGGAGATGATTCTGTATCCTGCAGACAAGATTAATGTTCATGTCGCAGGCAGTGTCACAATGTTTGAGAGACAGTAACTTTTAATATGCTAATACTCATCATTCTCATCCCAGACATGAAGCAGTGAAGTGCTGCACTGGTTTAGAAGAGAAATTTATGATATAATGTGTAAAGGAGGCTCATGTTTACGGATTCACATGAGTATAGCCAACAGTGCTATGTAGTTAGAATCAGAGCTGCGAGGAATATCAGGGCATGTTTGACACGCTGCACACAAATACAAAGAAACCTGGAAATTGAATAATCCCTTAGCCCTGTTCAATAAGAATATACCTCTATATCAGTGACTTTTTGTAAATATGATAAATGCAGACGACACGCCTCCATCCCCTCCCTCTAAAACAAAAAGTGGGCCATAAGTCCTCGCGACTTGTGCTTACATATTCTGCTGGTGGTGTCATTTGAAGCCAGGACATCGTGCACAGACTTGATCAGGCTGGTAGAGCCGCATAAGTCACATCCCACCACTTCAACTTACCAAAATACTCATTTACCTTCCTGATATAACAGCAGGGCTTCTTCAGGTGGGTACAGATTATTTTGTTGGTTTAAAGCAGACACAGATTATTTAATGACTCTTTTGTTAGTCTTTACATTTCCTCTCGTTGTCGACAAAATCTGCAGGAACTGAATTTGTCAACAGAGTTGTCAATCATGATGTCACATCTGCTCTCTTTGCCATCGAATAATGAATTAAACTAAACTTCTGTGGCAAATGAAAACTTGGACATAAATCAGCATGAGAACTAACTATGATGACAGAAACAATATTTATGAAAAAAAAAACAATGTTGACATGTATTTTACATATTTTAGTTTGCCCCATGTCCAATCCGTTAACGCTGAGGAGGAGGAGCTTATGAACTATACCGTGGTCAGTCAGTAGGGGAAGCTCCAAATGTTTTAGCCTTACTTTAAGGGAGTGGTTGTGTACATGTTTATATGGAGTAAATACTTTATACAAGTAATTCCCTCAAAGAGAGGTTATTCAGGGAGGAGTGTTTTCTCACAAAAATGTATTCTCTCTTTTTTTTTTTTTCCATAGCTGTGTCGAGGGGCCAATGTGCTACGACAGCGATGAAGCCGCTGCCTTCTCCGTTTCCAGCCTATCAAATCGCTCCTCTCCGTTGTCATGGCGCCAGGGTCAGGCCAGCCCCCGTCTGCAGGCTGGTGAAGCTCCGTCCACAGGTGACCGTCTGACTGTGAACACACAGTCAGACGTTCCCCTCCGCATCAGCCACGCCTCTCGCATCCAACTCATCGAAGCGCTGGATGACCCAGATCCCGCCCTCCTGAAGAGGGATTACCTCAGCACCAGCAACCTCTGCGGGAAGAGTCCAGTCGAGGAAGATGAAGATGATGATGATATCGATGATCTGGGGAACGGGTATGTTTTGTTTTTGTTTTGTTTTTATTCTTAAAGTATTTTCCCCCTTCATTATTTCTATTTTTGCGGTGTCCAGGACAGCATATGTCTCATTAACATTTCCTTAGAGGTGAATCCGCCACCTGCAAACTGTAACCACCTCACAGCTGCAGCGTGGCCTGTGGTTCGCAGTTTAGCGTCACAACAAAGCCTTAATCAGCCTCTCATAGCATCAGCCTTGACACTGGCAGCTGTAGACCCCCTGTTGCAGCTGGCTTTGCCATAGTCAGTGAACAGCCCTCTGGCAGAGGCTGTGGATGATGTCACAATCATGTAGCCCCCTTGCAGAGATCATCCTGTCAAATTCAGCTGCGGGCCCACAGGCTTTGCCAGCAGCCTTCCATGTGGAGGACCCCTTGCAGCGTTGGCTCACCAGAGCCCCCTGGCAGAGGCAGATATTTTGGAAAACTGGTAACTAACTCTGCTGCCGAGCTAATGTGGCCTCACTCCAAAATGTCAAGGTTGCAATGAGTTTTGTTTTAAGCTTGGCAGGGAATCTTTGGATAAAAAAGATAAGATGTTGAGATCACATTGGCGAAACAGAATCAGACATTTTTCAACTTTGTGTATCTGAGTCTGGTGTTTTGAGTGGCGGTTGACATTTTTTCTTCCTTTGAATGGGATCAGATTCTTTGGCATTGTTTCTCAAATCACATACACACACCTGTCTGCGTGTGCAGTTCCACAACACAGCAGAGGCTGTGACAGTACTGACTTATCACTCCACAGGAAAAAGTCTGTACCCTATATTATGCATCTAAAATAAAATGGATTAGAGATGAATAATCCTATTCATTTTACGAATACAAATGTGAATGTGTTTGGGTGTCTGTCTGGGTCCTATTGACGAAAACAACATGACGACCCAAAATAAATGGTGCATTGGGACTTTGTGAATGTTGGTTCTGTTTGTGAACTGAATTTGAGTGTTAAATTATAACTGAGCTCCCTGAGTCTCCGTCAGTCTGTCCCAGGAAGAAATCACATTATCTGTGACCTGCTTACAAGATACAAGAAATTGAGTTTAAAGGAGTATTCAAGAAGGACTTGAGTTGTGTTCCCTGGACTTCTGCAGTTAGTTTTGGAGAACTTTGCCGCCTTTGTCCTAGTATGAGGCGGTATGACACAACAATTTAACTCGGTTGCACACACAGCATCATGTGTTACGTGCCAACTCTAAGCACAGTGCAGAAAAACATCTCATTGCAAACTAGGAATTTGAAAGTGTGTGTGTGTGTGTGTGCTTGCGTATGTGTGTCTGTCCTCCACTGACACAGCTTGACATCTCTATGGTAACCTCAAAAATGCACCCACAGTCATCAGGAAATCAAATGCAACCCTGTTAAGTTTCCTGTTGTGTTATTGTGTATGTTTATGTAGTTAGTGGTTGTACATGTTTTATGTTGCACTTTTTGTGAGAAGTCAAAACAAAAGGCAACATTTGTTGGCAGGCTAACAAAGATTAAGAAAGTGAGATGTACATCGGACAAAGAGTCTTTTTTTTTAGCCTTTTAAATCCCTTTCTTATCCAATCTTTAGTGAGCTAATTAAGATATTAAAGTAATGGTGTTATTAAAATGGTTTGCAATCTTTAAAGATGCACTAGATGACGGTAGTAACATGGGCAGGAGGACTGTAATGTTCCATTTTGCTGAGATTGAGTCATTCTGTTGCTTCATTTTACAACTGTTTTTATCATTGACTAATCTGTTGAATATTTCATATTTATTTAATTGTTATTCTATTTTTTAAACAATGTAAAATATGCCCCTGAAATACAAAACTCCAAGAAGCCTCAGTGATGTATTTAAGTTGTCAGCAGCTGTGACTCAGTTGATAGTGTCGGTAGACCGAAGTGCCCTCTTGGAAAAATACAGTTTTCTAAGTCTAATTTATAAACCAAAAAATAATCTTTTTCATTAAATAATCTTTTTTTTCCAATTATTGAGCCATTTATATAATCATTTTGAGTCAGTGTTGAGGTGTCTAGTGCGACTTTAGGCTTATTGTATTTTTGCCACTAGAGGGCGGTCTTTTGCTGCAGTTCTCCTCTTCTTGTTCTACTGTCCAGCCTCTCAACTTGAAGTATCCCCCTGTTGGATAACCCTCCCTTTCCTCATAATTTATTTCCCTATCTCATCCATTATACATAGAGGCTGTGCGCCAGTCATACAGAGGTCACAAAACATTGCAATATCTCATCCCAGCATATATAAAACATAGGATCCCCCCCATATTAATTATGCATCACAAACACACCCTCACTCACACACACACACACACACACACACACACACACACGTGTTCTTTGTTTGGGTTACGTGGTCGTCATCTCTTTGTTCTGTTTAATTGTGAGGAAGCATAATAGAGTTTGGCTGTACACATATATTTGACTCATCGGGGGTCTCACTGTGACTCACTTGAGTTTAACTGTATAGGCATGAGTCACATCACATTTAAGGTTAGGTTTAATGTGACTGTATGTTGACCTGGCTGACACACAGACCCTGTACACTCACACACACTGAGTCAGAGCTTCTCCTGTCAGGTAAACATTTCCTGTGCCGCTGCTTGCTTTACATCTGGATCCAGACTGTCCACAGACACACACACACACACACACACACACACACACACACACACACACACACACACACACACACAAACATACACGTCATTCTCACCGGGAAACATCGGGGAAAGGGGGGCTATGGGGAGGTCAATCCCATGAGTGTTTGTGGGCGTAAACTCAAATGAGGTGCTGCAGTGTTGGAAAGAAACCTTGGATATAAACTGAGATTTTTAAAGTGAGGACAGTAATTAGTGTATTTCTTAATCCATACATTGAATGAATCAACAGTAATGTTAAATGTGAAAGACGTCTGCTGACATTTCAAAATCTCTGTTAATTCATTGTTTTCATTTTATAACCCGCGGTACAGCTCAGTTCCACCTTTTGTCTTTCTTCTTTCTGAATGTGGGCTTAAAGGTCAAAGTACTTCCACCATATTTTTTCAAGCACAGTATAAATAAAAAAAGATTCCTTTTCAAAGCAGTTTTTGCTTATCTTGTCAACCTGTGTCACACTTTTCAGGGGTTAAGCTCATAAATGATTCTTTTTGAAATAAGGCTGTGGTAGGGGTGCCTGTGGCCTGGTGGTTAGTGATTGTACCCTCTCTGCAGAGAGACAACTATAACTAAATCACAGTAGTGTAAATGCTTTGTTGTGCTTTACAGTGTGACGGTACATGGTTGGAAAATCACAAGCATCTCTAGATAACTGTAGACAAAAATGTGCTGCTCACAGTGGGAGATTCATAGCTCTGTGTGTGGCAGAATTATAAGTATGAGTTCTTGTCTGAGCCTCATCTGGTCTTAATAGTCAGTATTGATTGCCATTGTTGTTTTTCAAGTGGTTGTAATGGGCCAGACATGCGCACACACACACACACACACACACACACACACACACACACACACACACACACACACACACACACACACGATGACGATTGGATAAGCGCGTGGCTTGTTTTCTGCCCTGCTGCGTGCAGATGCTTTTGTTTCCGGATGGAAGAGCGCCCGTAAACGCACAGTCTCCATGGTAACACTGCAAGTCAAGCCTGTTCAGTGCACTAAATGTCTGAATTATGACATTTGTTTGAAGCAGGACAAACAAGCTCTCACATCTGCGCTCATACACACCGAGTTCCCTGAAGCTTTTCAGAGTCTGCCACTTGAACTATTTTGGTTTTGAGCCGTCTGCTTTCCAGAAAAGAGGAAGTGAGCTGGTTGCTGAGTGTAAATCCAGCACAGAACAGGGAACTGAAACAGAAAGAGGAACATTTTGACTGAGAAGTAATCTGTTTTGTACACAAAAGATGGCTGGGAAAAGCTTTGATGGCATCACTAGTAGCTTTCAGCATAAAACCTATCAGTGTTTTTTGTGATATTGGAACCCCGGAGGTCATTATCTCGCCTTTAACTGATGGTTATCTGACCACAGCCATGGATAAGCTCTTCTAATTAACTCCATCTCCCAGACCTTGTCACCTCTTTTTAAACCTCACCAGTGGGACAGGGCACACTGATGTGTGTGCATGTGTGTGTGTTAAGGAACAGAGAGAAGAGTTATGTTGCTCAGTCCTGTTGTACTCTGACCCCACCTACTGGCAAAATACTAGAACCACACACACAGTCACACAGAAACACACACACACACACACACACACACACACACACACACACACACACACACAGTCACATAGAAACACACACACAGAGCCTAATGCACCCTGACGTGTCTGATTAATGAATTCCTTTCCCCACATCTGGATCTGATTTATGTTACAGGTGAAAGATCAGTTCACTCAAACACTCTCTCTCTCTCTCTCTCCCTCTCTCACTCTCTCTCTCTCTCTCTCTCTCTCTCTCTCTCTTTGCTGATGTGATCCTCAGTGGACACACCCTGGGCTTCCCTCTCTATAAGAGCCAGATCTTAACACTGTGACTCATTCTCTGGGTCCAGTTACAAAAGAAAAACAGAAAAGCAGTCTCCTGGACCTAGTCCTCCATTTGACTGTGAGGTACAGCTAAGAAACATATATAGCCTACTTCTTAAAAGTTATTTGGATATCTTTTCTAACTTCAGTTGGAATATAAATCAAATCCTGTTTGAATATGTGGACTGTTTTAGTTTTGCTGTTGGGTCAAGTGTCTCTTTACAGCTTAAAATAATCCTGAGGTTCTTTTCTATTGATTTCTACAAGTGATGGCTCTCATCTCACACAATAAATGCTATGTAGCACCAGTTATTTCCCTGGACTGTTTTATTGTTTTAGTCTTTTTTATGAGTTGCAATTGGCTCCATACTATTTACATAAGTTATTGAAATTAACGTCTACATCCTTGAAGCTGCATAATGCATCATATTTGATGTTAAATCTGCGTCTGCTCTTGTC